ACAGGCCAGCAGAAGTCAGCCCAGCCTCCCTTCTCCTTACTAGGACTGGACACCAGACCCATCCCAAGTGGCAGGACCCAGCCCACCCCATCCAGCCCTGCATGGCAGCAAAAGCTGGCCAACTCCCCTCTTCCTCTCATCAGTGCCGGCATGACCCAGCCCATGCCAGCCCATCTCATGCAGCATGGTAGAAGCTGCATGCGGAGAAACAGCACATGGCAAAGTCAGCCCAGCTGCCACTTCCCCTCCCTGGTGCCAGACCGGTGCCAGAACCAGAATTCAAGCAAACCACCCGAGGTTCCTGCGGCCATCTTTCAGGCAGGTAGCCACCATTATCTGGGTTTTGAAGTGGCTGGCTCTGCAGGCCAGGTGGAAGTGCCTGGTGGTGCAGATCCAGCCTGCAGGCCATATTTTACCCGCTCCTGCCTTAAACCAACATGGCTACAACCAAAAAACCCAGTTCCTCCTTTAGTGAGATACTGTTCATTAATGGCTATTTTAATTAGTTTTTCTAAGGCTGTCTGACAGCCTCAGATATCAGCCACTAGAGCTATGCAAAATGTTCTATTATTAGACTATCCAGCCTGATTTGATTATTTTATTATTGGCTTACAGTCAAAAAACTTATTTTCTCCTTCAAATTATAGCACTGTCTACACTTGTGCCCTGGCTAAAGAAGAGGATTTTTTCAGAGATTTATTTTGTCAGAGGGGTTATGTTTGTGTGTCCCCCCACTGCCAGGTTCCTGACTTTTGTCTATCCTCTCATCTACAGCAGCTCTGGTTGCAAAAGGATGTTATTTCGACCTTGGCAAGGTTTAAGTCCTAGAAGGGTATATTGCAGCTGAGAAGTGAGAGTGGTGCAGTGTGTGGGTCAGAGAGCTGGGTGCCTCTACAAATCTGAGCTGACAAATAGATTTGGATGGGTTTTATTTATTCCTGTCAGATTTTGCTTTCTGAATTAACTGGCAACAGACAGAGTTCTTTTACTACTTGAGCTTTGGAGAAAAATGGGCTAAGTACAGGAATTCAACCCCTCCCCCCCCGGCAGAAGCTCTCTAAATTTACTTAAAGTGCTAAAAGTTAGAGTGCAAGTGAAGTGAATGGACATTTGCAGTTTGGTGGGGTGTGGGGGGAGGTCAGATCCTGCTCACACCTTGCCCCTGGGGTACTCTTGTATGCCTCCCAGGAGGTTGTAAGAATGGCCCCTTTCCCCAGCCCCACAACTGTCAGCAGCAGCTAGGGGGGGCAGAGACCCTGAACCCATTCCCATGCAGCCTCCCTCGCCAGGCAGTGGCATGCCATGAGGCTGGGGCTCCTGTGGGGAGAGACCCTGGACCCCTTACCTTGCAGCTCCCCTTAGCTGGGCAGCCATTCTGGCCATCCTGAGGGGCTGCAGGGATAAGGGTCTGGGATTTTTGTCCCCACAGTCCCCCTGGCCAGGCAGTGGCACGTCATGGGGCTGGAGCTGGGACACAGACCCCAGATCCCTTCCCTCAGTGACCCCCCAAGCTAGACATTGCTGTGCCTTGGGGCTGGGGCTACTGCAGGGAGAGAGACCCCAGATACCTTCCCCCACTGGCCACTTAGATGGGCTATGTCATGCTGTAGGCTGGGCCAGATGCAAGGAGAGAGTACCCTCTTCCCCCTCCCCCCAGCTGCAGCTTACAGCTGGCTAGAGGGAGGAGGCAGGGCTGAAATCAGAGGCTGTCACTGACTTGGGTCAATGACAGCTGAGGAAGTGGGGCCAGCCTGGCAAATGAGCTCTGTCCAAAGGTAGAGTGCAGCCCTGTGCAATGCCTCCTGGGAGGGCGGTGACCACGCTCTAAATTAATCCTCAAAGGGATCTGACACAGGTGTTTGATGAAGTGCCAGAAAGCACTTTAATCTAATACCTCATTCACTTAGACTGCAATCTGCATTTTTAAAGCACTCTAAAAGTTGTGAATGTCTGTTAAGTTACAGCTTTAAAGTGCTTTCTGCATGCTTACAGTGCAGTAAGTGTAAGGTCTGTACCTAGCCACATTCTTCATAAGAAAAATAACTGCAGAGAAAATATGTGTCATCGTCTATGCATAGGGGCAGTTGTCATTAACATTCATGATCTCTGACTTGGAAACATATTCCTCACAGAAGTAGGCTATTAAGCTGTCTGTATGCGTTCTTTTATTACATACTCTATTTACTTCAGTAGCAGAAAATAAGGATAAATTAGTGAGTGTAAGGCTAAAAACAGATGGCGCCTTTGTCCCAGGACAAGTTGTGTCTGTGTTTGTCCCAGAACAGAAAAATTCCCAGGATTGGTGTGTAGATGCATCACCCTTTCAATTGGGGTTTAGCTAGTGGCTGAGTGTACTGCTGCTTTTCTGCCATTGATTCAGTGCTGCAATTCTGCGATAACTACTCAGATGTACGTTATGATGTCTGGGACAAACTGTTAACCCTTATTACATGAACCATTTTTAGGGTTCATCCTGGGACAAGGGCTACGGACATCTGAATTGACTGCAGTTTGCTTGGGATAAAATAGATTCTTCCAGGACAAAAACAATGTTTGTTTGTAGCCTTTGTTCTGTCATATGCCTTTTAGTCATTGCTACTGGTCATCTGCTTCTAAGTGGCAGAGTAAGACTTGGAAAGGCAGTGTTGGTTAAAAATCAGGGTTTACCTTTTGTGTTCACCTAATTTCAGGTTTTTGTTTTTTGTTTTTTTGTTTTTTGCAGTTTCCACAGTTTTTGCAAGTTACTAATGTACTGATCTCATTAAAAGAGTTGATATTAGATTTGATTTCATATTAGCAATATAGATCTTTTTCTATCATGAAATCCAGTAAGTGGAATGCTATACCTTATAGCATGCTGTATGCTAGAACAGCTATAGTTAATAGTCAATATTTCAATTACAAATTGCAATTCTTGAGATCGCTTAACTAAGCCATAAAACTTCTGTGAAGTTTGAAACTTAGTATACATGACAGCTTTTCATGTGGGAATAGTGGTGGGGCCAGATGAGTTTGACATCCACAGTTGAAAATATTTCACATTAAATGTTTATTGTTGTTCAAAAATAGCCTTTTCTTAAAACATCTGATGGAAAACGGTTCACATTACAAGTCCTTCCTTTGCACGCATTTTCAGTCTATTTTTGTTATAAAGATCTAATTACAGCCCACTTATTCTGAGAGAGGGATTTTAATTCAGTTGCCATGCTCTTAGACCTGGCATACTTCATAAATGTAGCTGCTGGTCATATTACTAGAAGAGCTGGATAGAAAATTCCCTTAAAATGGAATTGAGGAAAAAAGAAAAAATGTTTCATGAAACCCTTTTGGGAAAAAAAAAAGATGTTTATGTAGCTCAAATCACAATGCATTTATTTAAGAACACATCTCTAAATATGTGGCCCATGCTTGAGCAGTCAAGTTGTGTGTGTAGCTGTTGTTTGTCTTTTTTTTTTTTTGCTGCTGATGCCTTGGGATTTTCATAGTACTTCAGTACTGATGGAAGATTTATACGTGTGAAACCTCTCCCACACACAAGTGGTTCTCTATTGACAGATAAGTAATATACATTCTGTGTCATGCTTATTGCTATTTTAGGATGTTAAATAACAGTAGAGTGGTGTGTAGCGTACATATTTGTTTTCAGTAATCTCAAATATTTGATATTCCATTCATGCATTGATGTCTCAGCTAGTAATAAATATTATCTTGTTTTCTAAAAATCAATATACTTATTAAAAATGTCATTCAGCGTTGGTCAACATTTTTCTGCCAAAACTATTTTTCAACGGAAAATTAACTTTTTTTTTCAAAGAGTGTGCTCTTTTTGTCAAAAATACCTTTTTGTTGAAAAAGTAGACTTCAAAATCAAACTTTTATTTCGTTTCAAATAACTATATTTTGGTTTGGAAAAGCTGAGGCAGTGCATCTTGGAAGCTGTAGTTCAGTTGCCTCATATCTTATTTCTTTTTTCTGAACCAGCTTGCTGGCTGGATAGCATGTCCCATGATGTACCATGAGTGTGGATTCCCATGATCCTATGAGCACTTGTGTCTCCTCTGTGGGGCAGATTGTGATGTGCGAAGATGTAGGTTGACCAAAGGGTTAGGCTTGTAGAGCAGAATGGAAACACAAGGGACCTACCTGTGTTTTCAAATGGAAAGACTTCTACTTTCAGCCAAAATATTTTTACACTTGAATTTTTGAGGGGAAAAAAAATGAAATTTTAGTGGGAAAGAAATCTATTTCTCAACCAACACTAGCTTTCAGATATAGTTTTGGTCTTTAACCTAATCTTAATTATTAAATAGAAACTGATTGGGCACGTCTATGTACAGTGACATTGCTATAGTGCCATGCTTTAGTCCTTCCTTTTGGAAGTCCTTCCTTTTGGAAGGACTAAAGCATGGCGCAGTAACTGCCCGTACTGTGCCATGTACATGGCGCAGTTAGATTTCTTAGCTACTTTGCTGTAATGGTGGGCTAAAACAGGGGAGCGTGCCGTTATGGCAAAGTACCAGCTAATCATGTGTGAACCCATGTGATTGCTCCGTTGCTGTAGTGCGCCATACAGCAATGTAGCGTGCTGCTACATTGACGTAGGGTGACAAGTAGATTAACCCATAAGTAATGTTATTGATCTGATACCTAGCTTGTCATTTTTTTGGCTTATAATACAAACAATTTTTGGCTTAGACTACAAGCACATTCCCACATACAAGTATGATAAATTGCAGCTTGAGTAGAATGTAAAAAAGCAACAGAAGAAAGAGCTTTTGCTGACAGTTATTTCTGTTCAACAAACAAATCTTCCATCAAGGAAAGCATTGTGGACTAGGTGATATCCTTATGTTAGTGTTCTTAGTATCTGTAGACCTAGGCCCAAATGCTAGACCCTGAAAGGCAAAGAGATAACATGCCACCTTTCCTTTCCAGAGTGCATAGTAAACAGAATATAGTCCTTATTAATTCAATCTCATTCTCTCATTTTATCTGTTTAGGGTCAAAGTCACAAAACTGTCTGTGGAATACCATTATTGGTGGGCTTACGGGTAATCTCAAAGAAAGGCCAAAGCCAACAATCATCAGTGACCCTCGGCCTCCAGAAGAAATCTTAGCAGATGAGTTACCACCAGTGGACAGTCCTGAAGCATTAGTGAAAACATCTTTCAGGTTTGAAGCATACAAACATGTTTTATTTTTTCCTTGACTGTGCTTTTGTTTAAGTTAAGACAGTTCCATGAGTTTAATTAGAGAAGCTAATATATAGGGGGGGGTTCTGCATTGTTGCACATCTTTGGACTGAACAGAATTGAAGAGGGTCATTAGTAACACTAACAGGACTGCTGAATTTCATTTATTAAATATCAGTAAACTTTTTGCCAGATTAAAAACCTCGGCAGGTGTGAAAATAGTAGATAATCAACACAGCTGATCAAGACAACTTGCTATCTGAAATTACCAATGAAATGGTACTGTCTCACGTTTTATCAGTGAAAGCCAGCACTGTAAGACCAATAATGTGATTTATTAATGCAGGGAATAACTGAATCTTTTGTCCATTGATCTGATGTCATGAGGACTATATGGTATCAATTTATTTTGTCACAGAGGATTCCTGGGAAAGAATTTGTGGGCAGGTGCCTTTTTCCTGTTGTGTATTGTGAGATACATACATTGGTGCATTTCCTTTCCATGTATTTATTCATGTAAGCATATAGTTGGCAGGCAGCTTTTAAGTGTGTTTAATTGATTATATTTTTCTCTAGATGATTGTGGTAAAATAGAAAATATGGACCTGTGTGGTAGATATTTAATAAAAATTTCAAAATATGTGGTTGATTCAGTACCATGCCATGTGAATTCTTCAAGTTACTCTCAATACTTTGTTTTTAAGTGGTTCTCTATTGCCATGTACAATGATGAAATGCTATTGCTTTGGAGAAATTTCTTGATGGCAAAACATATTCATTTAATTATGTATAACTTCACACTCAATAGAACTGAATTATTTTCAGATGCTTATTAAAGATCTTTGCCCAGGTTCTAATATCAAGCATCTTGCATGCATTTTCTCATATCTCAAAATATTTCTTACTTTTCCTTCATGTCACTTAACTATTGATGGATTTTTCTGGTGCTGCAGTGATGTAGTGAAGCATCATGCTGAATGCTTCAAAAACTGGACCTTTCTATTACTATAACTCCATAATGATTTTAAACAAAGCTGGATAATTTGTTTCCTGGATTACTTAAAGTTAATTGTCAAACACTTTACCTCCTTCTCCCCACCTCCACACCACCCATTGTGAACAAATTGTGATTATTAACAGTTCTTAAACTCCAATAACCAAGATCATTTGACTTGAATTGTGTTTTTTGATACAGGTGGGATCATAAATAGAATAATTAGGGGGAGTGATGAATAGGAAAAGATGATTCGATACACACACCTGCTTGTGTAGTGTGTAGGGTTGAATAAATATCAGAAGTACCTTTATATTCATCTGTCTCTATAGGAAGTTGTATTGCCATGTGATCATGTTTGGACTACTATATAATTAAATACACCAAACAGTTCACATGAAGTAAATTGCATCTGTCTCTACAGAGGAGTGCACTTTATGCAATTATGAGCTCTATCTTGGCGTTTTACTAGCATGATAATGAAAATAAGATAATACATTTTTTTTATTAACTAAAGAAGACAAACATATAATTCTGTATTCTGTTCAAGATGTTGATGATTTTGTATGAACTGATAATAATATAACCGTCCCAGGAGTGTTGGGTTTATTCATACATTTTTCTGTTAACTGGAAGATGAGGTTTAGTGCTAAATGTGCCCAGGGATGTGAATTATGGTTGCCCTAAACAAGTTTATAATATTAATACAATAGCTCGATTTGAAGTCCATGGCAGACCTCTTATTGAGCTCCATATGGACAGGATTTCAGCCATGAAATTTAAATAGATGAACAGGAAACTTTGAATATTGCCCTACTGTACTCAGGAAAACAGCAGAGATTGAGAGAATGGTTTTATTATATTTATTTGCTTTCCACTGACTTAAATACTACACTTCTATGAGTTTATAATTGCTAAGGCGTATCTCTCTGTCAGGATGAATATACTGATACAATGAAAACCAAGTTATGAGAGGATATATGTCTATTCTATACAAATAACAGTGATGTCATACACTGGGAATAATAGGAGCTTTAATACAGTTAATGTAGTTTTCAAATACTTAGCATTATTGTTTCTAACAATACCGTTGCACTTTTACAAGTATGTTGCTTTTATCATCTTATCTATTCAGTAATAATGATGCTGGAATTAATTTTGCAAATTTAATCCAATGCTGCAAGGGCCTCAACGTTTATCAGGAGGCAACTGCACCATTGTTGAATGGGTCTTGATTAATTTAGGTTTTTCTTTGTGTTGTCAAACTGATATCACCTCGTTTTACTATTTGTTTTGGCTCATTTCAGCAGTGTATCTGGAGACTGATGAGCAGTTGACTACTCTTGTTTACTAGACATGAAGGGTGGAATTCTCTTGTGAGCCTAAACGGCAGTTTTCTGGGTGCGCAAGTAGCTTTTTTGACACTTAAGTGCACTTTGTGATTCTATTATGCTCTATTACCTATGTAAATAATTACATTATACCTGAACAAAAGCCATAGCTAGTGGGTGAGGAGGAAGAAGAAAGCAGCCCTTCAATGTTGTATTCCCAATGTTTTAACCTGTTAGGCATTACCCAGTCCCCTGTCAAGCCCTCTGAGCAGGCAAAAGAGTGGGGAGAAGTTGGGTCAGGAGGAAGGTGAGAAGTTAGAGGCTGTGTGGCTCAGTGAGATGATTGTTGCTTTGGAAAGTAGCAGCTCCTGGCTTCCAGACTGGACCCTTGTTCCCAATGAAGTAGAAACTTTCCCCCTACATTGCAGTCTAGCCAATGTATTTTATCCAATGACTATTAAATGCCAGGCACAGTGCCTTAGCTTGAAGTGGCAGGCCAGAGAAAACTCTGGGTAATAATTAACCTGTGATAATAGTTTCAAACCCTCTTCTTGGTGGGGGAGGCTTGGGTCTTGGGTCTTCTACTTTTGTGGGCGAGTGCCCTAACCACTCAGCTACTGGTGCTAAAACATGGAAATCCTCATCCTCATCCTGTGACTTATTGCAGCACACACTCATAAATAGCTGGGCTCTGTACCTGCTAGGTCAGTGAGATTCCTACTAAGAATGCACAACATGTTAATGCATCTACACTGGATGAGTATGAGTAACATATTGCAAACTGTGTACATGCCCAAAATGCTCCTTATGAGCAAGTTTCACTGAGGTTCACAGGGGGTAGTAGAATTCTACTCCAAGTGGTAGGCCTTAGGAAGAGAACATTGTATTTCTTTTCTTGCTCTCTAGGACTTTGTGCAGACATTCAGTGGCATTAGGGGAAGTTTAGATCACATTCAAAATGACCACCCAATCTAACTTAGTTCACCCTTGTGCAAACTTTACACTCAGACTCAGTCATCGGAAATCGATCTAAACCTGTAACTATACAGAAGTTCTGTGCACGCAGACCAATCTAAATATTGTAGAACCTGGTTTAAGATAGACCTGGATTGATGTAGTCTCAGACTTATTCAATCTAGGTTAGACCCGGCATGGAGCTTTAGTACAGTTACCTGTGCAGCCCCGGGGCTGGGAAAGTCTAGCTGCCAGCCCTAGTCCCAGGGCTGCACTTTTTACACACCCCTGTCCAGCACCAGGTTATTTTTAGCTCCCTGGCCCCTCATTCTGCCCGTCATGGACCAGCCAGCCCCCTCTCTATCTCCTCCATCCCACATGCTGCTCCACATGCTGCTGCTTTTATCAGCATTTACACCTGCCAGGAGCTGAGCAATTAAGTATCGGCGAGGAGGGGGGTGGGAGGGATGTAAGTTTACCAGGGTGTGGTTGGGGAGCTAAAACTAGCTCCTGGTCCCCCCCCCCCAAGT